AAATATACACAATTTCACATTTGTAAAGTCAAACAACATTTCTAACCTGCTAACACCAACAGCTCCTACAATAAGTATTGTATAGATTTGATTTTCCAAAACGATTTGATTGGACATTCTATTTGGAGAGCCTGGTAGAAAGCTATATCTCTACAAGAACTAATTAAACCAAAACAATAGTTCTTTAACATAAATGAAATGATTCTATCTAAGCTGTTACTATCAGCCATAATTTTAATTCAAATTTCTTATTGAAAACAACACCTTTTTTTTCCCATCTACAAAACTGTTACCTGTTTCCTATCGCTAATAAAGCTCAACACTTCCCTCCACCAAACCACTTTTGATCTATCACATTAAGGCTTCTGTACAGTCTCTATCTACAGCTAACACACACATCATAAAAGGTGTTCAAATCTCTCAACTCCTGTAGAGCATTAAGATTTTTCAAACGAATTTGAAAGTCATAGTAGTTCAGGTTCTCTTCATTTGTATGTTTGATGTAATGACAATGACCTTCTGCATACCGTTCACAGTCCGAAAAATTCAAAAGAAAATAACTCATCTTGGATCACATTATGTACTTATTCTGTGCTTGCTTGACTTTTATTCTGGCACTTTACATCTTCATCAAGTCTTAGTCCATCTTAAGTACTAAATGCAGAGGTTCTTCTTTGGAATTTTAGTCACAAACAACTATAAAGTGTTGTTATATGAAATAACATTTTGGCGACACTCATTGTGATGGCTCTTGAACTCCTAAATATTTGTGCCTGCATTCAAGGAACAATATACTGATTTTAACAAAAGTGCTTTCAGGGGTATGATTTTATAGCAACTCTGTTCCCTAAACATTCACAAGATATTAACAAAAACTGATCTTTACACTATCAGTAAGAAAACATTCCCTGGCTAATATGTTCCATCAAGAGTTGGGTTTCTTCACATTCAACAAACATTTGTCTCAACCAAGACTTTGGTTCTTCACATTCAACACAAATATTTATTTTAACATTTTTCAATCTTTGGCCAAAGACTCCAGAGTAGTTTCATATTCATACGATTATCTCACGCACAACCCTACGATTTTTGGATGTGGGTGTAGAGTAACCACTTTCTTGGCTTTCATCAAAATGCAAGGGGATCTGTGGGGACTTGTCTTCATCAGTCTGGGCAAAAGGATTTGGGAGACCACTGACTTCATAGTATGGTGATTCTGAAAATATGGAAACAACGTTAAATAATTCACACACACAAATAGGCAACCATTGAAGGATTTATATTACACTTCAATATATATGATATTACCTTGAATTTTTCATAGTTTTTTTTTATTAAATCAATGATATGGAGAGGAAATCTAATATTAATAAGTAAAAATGCCTTTAAAATAAAATAATGATATTAATATACTGAAGTCTGTTGTTCTTTATGTGATATTTTATCATGATTATTGAGATTCATTTCAAAGTCATTAAATTTCATTTAGCCAGAAAAATTATGATATTCATTTATATATTTGGAAATCTAAAATTTACACACGAAACATAGTAATGCACATTTATTTCCAAACAGCTTTACATGATCTTTTTAATTAAGCATATGTTTAATGTGTATTATTTATTAAGGATCAAAACTTTCTTTTGCAGTCTCTTTAAGAATCCAGCATACATTAGTGGATTACTTACGCATGTAATCCCTGTTTCTAACGTTCATCATATCTTCAGCTAGTGGATGATAGTCTTCAGGATAAAAATATCCGTTTGATAGACCACCATCATACTGTTGGAAGGAGACCTCTGGGGGAAGTTCACTTCCACATTTGAGCCAAATATCTGACTGACTGTCATTGGGGGAAAGTTGTTGATCTGGTAAGTAAATTATACCTAAAAAAATAACACAAAACTATTTAAACATTCAGCGGTTTTTATTGAAAGACACAGTGTATGAAGTTTTGTTGGTAATTAGCATTCATGAATTTTTCTAAAGAACAAAAGAAATCATGATTGTTTTTAGCTTAAATATATTAATGTTAGCATTTTGAAATCAGTGGTGTTCATTTTATTAGATACTAGATTTTATCCTAAGTGTTACACAAAAGGTAATGCACTTATTATTCTTAGCATAATTATTATTTAAAACTTGATTAATATATCTATTATTCTTAGCATAATTATTATTTAAAACTTGATTAATATACCAATTATTCTTAGCATAATTATTATTTAAAACTTGATTAATATATCTATTATTCTTACCAAAGTATTATTCAAAACTTGATTAATGCACTTATCATTGTTATCACAAGTGTTACTCAAAACCTTCAGCAGTCAAGTATAATTAAAACCAGATATGAATTTCAGCTGATACACCTCCAAATGTAGTACTGGCAAATGACTTTAAAGATGGTACTAAGTACCAGTGATACCTTTTGGTAGGAAATCGTAAGTACTAAATAAAGTGTTACAGTATAATTCTAACAATAATTACCGTGTTGTTAAATGACACAATAATTTAAAAAAACCCATAAAGTATGAAAGTTTGTGTACCCATTCTGCAGTTATGTTAAGCATTTATTATAAAATGACTTAAGAACACCCCTGTTCACAAGGGTATCTGAACTAATTAAATAAAGTTTAAAGTCTGATCTTACTCAGTGTTTGGATTTCTCATGATAGAGTTGGGTTTAATTCAATATTAAAACCTATTACAGAATGCATTACTACACCATAAAAATCTAAACTTATTCCACAAGGAATTATAGAAGCTGAGGAATACTCACCATTACTTGGAGGAGGCCTGTTTTGGAAGTGATCATGCAGGAGTCCACTATTATTGACGTGACCAGCTGGTAAAGTTGGTGTATACACAGGTGGTTTAGTCAGGTCATCAGACCCGCTCTCTGGAAGCTTACTCAGTCCCTCAGTGTAATATGGTTGAGAAACTGTCTTTGTTCTTTCACTAATGCAAGAAAGAAAACAATACATTTTATAAATGTAGGTTATTCGTAGCATTGTTTGCTACAGTGCTGTTCTACACATTAATACTGCTACACATAATTTTGGTTTAAAAAGCTACATAATCAAACAAACCCAATTAAAATTAGGTGTCTGAGAAAAACTAATAATAATTCATAATTTACTTTAAACAGAGAATCCACTTTAATGAAATTAAGCTTTGGAATGATGTATTTGTGTTCATCAGTTCAAGAAATTCTGGAAATTTGATTTTCTTTAGAACTGCAATAAGGAATGGGTGAGAAGTGCAAACCTGAGACTTGAAAACTGTTTCTATGAATTATTAGTTTTAAAAGAACATTAATATCTTATCCAAAATCGCTGATTTGATGCTTACTGTATTTGATTCCTTCTTTGCATTTTAAGTTTCAATTTCTCGTTTTGTTCATAAGTTTCCATGGTTGCTAGAACCATCTCAAGTTTTACTGTAACAGCTACCAAGACAGACAAATAACCAGAGTTACTAACTACCCAACTTAAAAACAAATATGGGAAAATGTCATTACAGGGACAATCTTATCTTAGATCCACTGGGTAAAGCTGTTGCTTAGATACAGAGCACCTCAAACTACAAGATCTCTCACCTCTACCTTTTTGTGTATCATATTAAGATTTTGTTAAAAGAACTGTGGAAAGTTTCGTATGAAGATTTTGTTAAAAGAACTGTGGAAAGTTTCGTATGAAGATTTTGTTAAATGAACTGTGGAAAATTTCATCATATGAAAACTTTCCACAGTTCTTTTAACAAAATCTTATATGAAGATTTTGTTAAAAGAACTGTGGAAAGTTTTATATGAAGATTTTGTTAAAAGAACTGTGGAAAGTTTTATATGAAGATTTTGTTAAAAGAACTGTGGAAAGTTTTATATGAAGATTTTGTTAAAAGAACTGTGGAAAGTTTTATATGAAGATTTTGTTAAAAGAACTGTGGAAAGTTTCATATGAAGATTTTGTTAAAAAGAACTATGGAAAGTTTTATATGAAGATTTTGTTAAAAGAACTATGGAAAGTTTTATATGAAGATTTTGTTAAAAGAACTGTGGAAAGTTTTATATGAAGATTTTGTTAAAAGAACTGTGGAAAGTTTAATATGAAGATTTTGTTAAAAGAACTGTGGAAAGTTTACTTACCTTCCTTCTTCCATTTCATAATTTTTTGCCCCTGAAATAAATAGAAGATATTCTAAGAAAATAAACTTTTTCCAAAAAAAAATTACATTTAGGATGTAATAACACAAAAAATGATTATAGAATTGGAAGATATATCTTTCTTAAAAAGCATAAAAGAACTTAAAACAAATCCCATTAATAAACCTTTAAGTATTATTCTACCAAGTAAATCATGATTCCATAATATTTTAATACAAATGAATTTTCATTTCTTTTGTTCACTGTTTGTGAAATGACTTTTGCTCAAAATCTTATGAATGTGGCTTTATTCACTCTTAAAATATGAGAATTCTTCATGATTTAGCAAAATAGTGAACATTGGTGAAAGAGTTTTTACTTATCTTAAGCAAACAATGGTAATGTACAAAGTAAACAAACACTTAAGCCGTAAAAAACTTTAAATGTGAATATCAGCTAAGTATTTTGACATGTGTTATTAAGTACAGAATATTAAACACAACTAAACGTTTCTTTTTCCAACAAAGTTTATCTCACCTGATTTAGTCTTCTTCTTCAAGCAGCAACACACAACAATTATAACCATGAGAAGGAAAACACTGGCGGCAACAGCAACAATTATAATAATATTTCCAGTTGACAGAGGTGGTGTGCTTCCAACAGAATGACTAACTCCTGTAAACAAGCACATAAAACTATCATTGTTCTTGAGAAATTTTGCCATTTCTAGACATTGTTGTGCTTTTCAGAATACTCATTCATTGTTGAAATTTTGTACAGTAGTAAAACAAAGAAGCAGTAACAAGTAGTGTTTATATTTTCAGCACATTTTCATTAAAAAATCAAAACTACTCGCATTTTTTTTAATTTAAATTGATTAGGATTTATTGGTAGATATAAAAAGTTTTTTGTTTCTTATAGTAAGAGAGGAAACTCACCAATGAAAGGTTCTGCTAACTTTTCATCTCCACACCAGGATTCATTACTTTGCAGGCACAAAATAACTCTCACGTCACTAAAGCCCTCTGGTGGCGGTCTTAAGTAGACATCAGAGTCCTCTTGTTGAACAGGAAGTAACGCTTGTTGTTGCCATTCTACTGATCCTTTAGTTTTAGCTTCAACCTAGCAGAAAGAGCAGTCATAATGATGTCATTATGATGTGTACAGCTTAGATAGCCCATTATGGAGCTTTGTGCTTATCAAGAAACAAAAAAAAAATACAACAATTGACGTATTTCCAAAAATATATTAAATAAGGAGAAAAATAATGTATTATTTTCTTATTTTTTCAAACAACCAATCTTGTAACTAATTGCTTTTGTTTGATGTTAAGGGCTGACCTACTGTCCGATTAGCAAAAACCTTCTGAACGTTTGTGATGTTTTGCGTGTTTATAATTCTGAAATTTCAAATAGCTGGAACCTCACCTCATAGTCTTTTAGAAATAGTGCTGATGTAAGTTTTGATTTATGAGTATGAATAGCATACACTTTGTATTTCAAAATATGTCTAATTTATTGTTAAGTTTATTACATTTCTTTGAAATTTTCTTTATTCCTTATTTCTTCAATATCACACTATTTTTATTACGGACTTATTAATGGTAAATCTGAAGGCTTATGTTGCTAAAAATCTGGTATCAATACGATATCCATGGTGGGCACAGTATAGGTAACCCATTGTGTTGATTTCGGCGGTGCAATATATGACACTAGTAGTGTACAGTATATGTAAAACAAACAAATTGATAAATTGGAGGATTATAATAGCAATTTGATTCTATCGAATAGACCACTCCAAACATTATTTTAATATTCCAATTTTCTACTGAGTTACTATGACTATTTATTTGATGATAATCAAGTGAAATAAATAAAACTCCTGCGTATCTTTAAAATGATACACGTAAATATCAAACTGAATGAAAGAGAATCCTTAAAGATTTAATTCCAGTTTTTTTGTAGAAAGAATTGAATTTCTGTTGTTTTTTTTTCAGACATGCCACGTGCAACTGTTGCACAATATAACAAGGAAACACATTTATTGTCTTTCAGCGCTGATTCCAAAACACTTAAGCTAATTGCAAAGGTAAGCAAAATGGGATTGGATTAATGTTTCCATTTCTTTTAAAGATCTTTATTAAAAATCATTCCGATCAATGAAAATCACAGCCTGGATCATAGTCATTTATTGAATAATTAATTATTATATACCGCACACTACTAGGTGCACGTATTGCACCCTATTGAATAATTACTTATTATATACCGCACACTACTAGTGTCATATATTGCACCCTATTGAATAATTACTTATTATATACCGCAAACTACCAGGTGCACGTATTGCGATACTGATGTTTTTTATTTTATTTAATACAGCACCAACTAAATAAATTATGGCGTGTTTTACTTTGGTTACATTATTTCTAATATTCTTTGTATTATTCAATATTAAAAGGTTCTTACCTCTTATATCAACTGTAGGGGAGAAAAAAAAGAAAGACCAATAAGAACAAAACATACATAAAAACACTCAAAAGATATTCACAAAAACGTATGTAAGTAGTATCACAACCTAAATATGAATAATTACGTCACAATTTAATATTAGTGTGGATAATCGGTTTGTAGAACTGAACTAGAAACATGTGATTAGAAACCTTTACTGTGTATTAACGTTTATACAACATAACTGTTTACCTCGAATTTTTAAACACACGACATATTTCTTCTATGGATATATTATATTTGTTTGTTTGTCAACATGATCAATTGATAAGGTAATAAAACATAAGACGTCTATTACCAGTTCTAATGAGTGGTAAAGTTAAAATTGAAATAAGATAATAATAAGAATAGATGAAATAAAAAACAGTAATAAAAATAATAATTAAATCCTAATAATGTGATTCTAAAATGACTTAAATAAAAATTACTACTAGCTACAATTCACTTTATTATTAAAAGGTTAAAATTTAAGGAACAATATTACAATTATTAAAATCCACAAATGAACAATTAAGATCTTTATTTAAATCGTGTAAAAGTCACATTACATGTTTCAACATCATTTCACGTCATCTTCAGGAGTTTCTATGTGCTATACAAGTGCAAAAGTCATGGTCATGTGCACACTAGTTTACAATTCAAAAAAAGAAGATTACATCATCTATTTACTTTCTGATTTTTCTAACTCTTCATCCTTATTTAAGATGATTTTTTTTTTTTTACTGGATTTCATCATATTTTTGGTTTCTCTGTCCAGTATAACTTACATGTCCAGCTAATGCAGAGTTTCACTTTTATTGTTAACATTTCTCTTATGTTCATTTATTCTAAATTTTAAGTTTCTTCTAGTTTGATCAATGTATGCAGGACCACATTCACATTGAATTGTATATATATATATACTGATTTATTTCATCTTTAAGTTTATTTAAAATTTTACTAATTTTATTCAATGGTCTGTAAATGTTGTTTTTTTAATTTAAGAAATATTTCTATCTTTTTTATCAAATGTTGATTTAGTTTATATTTTTGTTGAACATTTATTTTGTTAAATTTCCTCACGGCTCTATCAACAATATGAGGTGAGAAACACCTCTATTTAATGCTACATGTTTAATAAGTAATAGTTTATTTTCTCAAGCTGCTGAATTAGAACATAGTTTTAAAGACCTGTAAACGTAAAAGTAAAAATCTGATATTTTTTGCGACTTTGGATGACATCATTCTTGGTGTGGCGGCATAAAATTCAATATACGACATACCGTAGTTTCTAACTTATTCTTGTCTTTCTTAAAAATCGTAAGTATGCAAATGGCGCGATCTTCTTTTTGGAATTGTAAACTAGTAGTCACATGACCATGGCTTTTCTACTGGTATAGCACACAGTAACTGTTTTTGACACTACTGAAGATGACGTGAAACCACGTTGAAATAGAATGACAACTATTCATCGGTTTCAATAAATATTCTAATCGTGTATAATAAAATTTTGATCGTTTGCGGATTTTAATATTTTATAATTCACTTGGTTAATCTGGTTCACACACTATAACAGTTGATGGTTAGTCTGGTTCACACTTTAACAGTTGATTCACACTCTAACAGTTGATGATTAGTCTGGTTCACACTTTAACAGTTGATTCACACTCTAACAGTTGATGATTAGTCTGGTTCACACTCTAACAGTTGATGATTAGTCTGGTTCACACCCTAACAGTTGATGATTACTCTGGTTCACACACTAACAGTTGATGATTAGTCTGGTTCACACACTAACAGTTGATGATTAGTCTGGTTCACACACTAACAGTTGATGATTAGTCTGGTTCATACTCTAACAGTTGATGATTAATCTGGTTCACACCCTAACAGTTGATGATTAGTCTGGTTCACACCCTAACAGTTGATGATTAGTCTGGTTCACACCCTAACACTTGATGATGATGACATACATATATATCGCATGGACCACTATTACGTCTGTCACGTCCCAGCAGACCTGATGAGTTCTCGTATTGTGTGCGTAAGGCCTCGTCGGTACTGGATGTGGCAGACGTAGCGTGGTTAAGATGTTGTGAAGTAAAATATAATATAGAAATTTACCTTTGGTGACGACCGATATTTCATCAGAATAAGGACTGTACCCACGGGGATTAACTGCCATCACTCTAAAGGTATACTCAATCTTTGATTGTAAACCTGCCAGTGGACAAAATATGCAGGAAAAACAAAGTTTCAATGAATGGGTAAAGACACCAGTTCACGAACATAACACATAGAGACCAAGTTTAAAGCAATCATACTGTGTATGCTTACAAATGCCTTCAACACAGTAACTTCAGACAAAAATCCATTCTTCAATTACACATCAGTTTTAACAAAATTATTGATGGTAAGTTTCATTAAACTAACGTAAGACAAACTTTGAACATTGAAAATGTTTTCACTCTAATTATTATTAAAATATCTTTAAGACAGAAAACTACAGTAAAATGAAAGCTGGTGTTATAAAATGTTTAGTATCAGAAAACGGAACCTAAACAAACAAACTAAAAAATAGTACCACGACCTAATTATACATTATTAAGTCATAATTTAATGGTAATTCTGTCAAAGCCAACTTCTACTATGTCTGGTATGGAAGGTCTTTCATACGTTGGGCAGATGTTAGCTACAGTACACTTCAATTACGTTTCCATACCACAGTACACTCAATTACGTTTCCATACCACAGTACACTCGATAACGTTTCTTTACTACAGTAAACGTTTTACATTTCCATACTACAATACGCTGAACTATGCTTCTATACATTACACTACTCTACGCTTTTATACTACGGTACGCTGAACTACGCTTCTATACTACAGTACACTAAACTACGCTTCTATACTACAATACACTGAACTACGCTTCATTACTATAGTGTACTTAGTTACGGTTCTATACTACAGTACACTGAACTACTCTTCTTTACTATAGTGTACTTAGTGACGGTTCTATACTACAGTACACTGAACTACGCTTCTTTACAGTAGTGTACTTAGTTACGGTTCTATACTACATTGTAGTTCAGTGTACTGTAGTATAGAACCGTAACTAAGTACACTATAGTAAAGAAGCGTAGTTCAGTGTGCTTCTTTACTAAAGTGTACTTAGTTACGGTTCTATACTACAGTACACTGAACTACGCTTCTATACTTCAATACACTGAACTACGCTTCTTTACTATAGTGTACTTAGTTACGGTTCTATACTACAGTACACTGAACTACGCTTCTTTACTATAGTGTACTTAGTCACATTTCTATGCTACAGAACACTGAATTACGCTTCTTTACTATAGTGTACTTAGTCACATTTCTATGCTACAGAACACTGAATTACGCTTCTACATTACAGTACACTACGCTTCCATACTACAGTAAACTTAGTTAGGCTTTTATGAGTTCGTGAAATTTTTCTCAATCCAACTAGAAAACCGACAGTACCAGGTCTTATTCAATTCACCTGTAATTTGGCAAGGGTTGTGACTTCGACATGACTCGTTTCTTTGATGACCAGTTTCCAGGTTTGTGTGAGTAACAAGAAACTCAGTGTTCGAAAATCCTCCATTAAAGCCTTCAGACCATTGTAAGGTAAGTCTGTCAAAGCCAACGTCAACTACGTCTAACATGGAAGGCCTGTCAGGAGCGCCTGTAACAATAAAAACATACATACATACATACATATTGTTTTATTTTAGGTAGTTTAAGTCCATGTTATTGAAAAGTGTATTTTATTTCTGATAACCTTCTTCTGTATCGTTATGGATTCTGATGAAGAACACATCATAGAGCTCAAAACGTTGTTTCGTAAACATGCCATAACAGTCAGAAGTCCATGGCCCACTTATATAATGTTTTAACTTAAGCTATAGCTTAAAAACATTATCTTTTAGAATTGCTACAGAACATTTTAAGCAGTAATCACTTTGGTTTTATACCCTGATTTAATTGTGGAGTATCAACTTAATTCCCGCATTCTTTAATTCAAATACTTTCACACATTACTTATAAAAAAGTTCATAGTATTACTTTTATTATTATTTAGCATGTTAATTTGTACTTATGTGTTCTTATTAACTAGAACATTAAACTTTATTGATGCTAACATGATAATTTGTACTTCTGCGCTCTTATTAACTGAAAGGGTACTCTGATAATTTTACACTTTATTGCTGTTAACATGATAATTTATACTTCTGTGCTCTTATTAACTGAAAGGGTACTCTGATAATATTACACTTTATTGCTGTTAACATGATAATTTATACTTCTGTGCTCTTATTAACTGAAAGGGTACTCTGATAATGAAGATTTTGACTTACTTTTCGTTACTAGCTTTATTATCGTCTTCTCATCATCTCCAACTTTGTTCCAAGCCTGACAGGTGTAATCTCCATAATCAGATTCCCTCATGTCTCTTATTGTTAAAAGTCCAACGTAGACATCATCTCCAAGATCTGTGACGTTGACGGAATAGCTGCCGTAATTGTCTACGATTCTCCCTTTGTAGTACCACTCAAAGCTGGGTGCAGGGTAAGCCTGCATTTTACATTGTAGAATAGCAGTCTCACCAACGTCAAATGCAACCCTGTTATACGTATGTCGGACAAAGGGCGCATCTGAAATAATTGATATATCATTTAGAAAAGACTATTTCAAATAGTTGAGGATATGAAATAAAGAACAAGATTTTGTTTTTTGTAATGACAATATATATATCACCTTCTTCGTGTTCTATTCTTAATAAAAAATAAGAGCATATAAAAATGTTGATTAATAAATATATTATTTTCATTATGACAAAGAAATCTTTTCATATAAAGTAAACTTTCGTAAGTAAATCACTTACGTTTTATTCTTAAACTCATATCTGATCTGGTCGATTCTCCAACTCCATTTTCAAACAAACAGCTGTAGCGCCCTCTATCAGCGGAAGAAAGAGATTTTCCCCTCTTCCGCGGCCCGTCGAAGTATAGTGTGCTCTGAACAGAAAATGCATTGTTTTCCTCAATCTGATTTGTTGTATCAACTCGAAAGAAGTCACTATTATCAATAATTTCTTTTCCGTTTCGAAGCCACTTCACGAAAGGTTTGGGTTTGCCTCGAGCTTTACACGTAATGCTGAAACTTTCGTCGCCATCTTCCTTGACAACTTGAGGACGTAAAGAAAGCAGGACTGATGGTGGTTCTGTAAGCAATCAAATAAAAATGGGTCGCCTTCTTTCGAAACTTCTAAATCACTATAAATTATAAGACGGTTATACGTTATCTTACAGAATACCAATAGTCTATTTCTGAGAAACTTCTAAATCACTATAAATTATAAGACGGTTATACGTTATCTTACAGAATACCAATAGTCTATTTCTGAGAAACTCTGAGCCACCTGTTTTTTAATTAATCCTGTTGTACATCACGTGCGATTCATAGTATATAATGCTAAAGCGCCTGAGTATCATATGTGACACGCAGCTACATTTATTTGATATGCAAGTGTTGCTCGTGAACGTGGCGTTAGGAAACCGGTCCGTTTCGGTTAAAGGTATGACATTAGAAGCGAGCTTCATATGAACATAACATGTGACGCTCAAAGCGCATATGAATTATGGTAGGCTAAGTTACTTGCACTCAAGAGAAAATGTAAACCTAGAACTTTTAGTTGCTAATACTATCTACTCTCTTTTGACCCCCTAGTGGCACAGCGGTATGTCTGCGGACTTACAAAGTTAGAAACCTAGTATTGATACCCGTGGCTGGCAGAGCACAGATAGTCCAATGTGGAGCTTTGGGCTTAATTACAAACAAACAAACAAACAAACTAATCTCTTACTGGAAGGGTACGCTTCACTCATATTTAATTTTGTAAGAAGTCGAATAAGCGTATACATAGAAACCAATAAATGACCTAAAACGAGGAAACGATTAAGTAAAGTTAAACTATAAATCTGGTTGTTGTAAAGTATAAATAATATAACACTGCGGTAAGTTTAATGTATACCAGTAGGATATCAGTTACCTTTAAAATACTTTATTATGGTAAAAAGTTATTAGAGTTTCTTCGAAGTATATAAATAAGGGTATTGAACTTGGCAAGATTAATTTGCCGCGAAAAGCAGCAGTCGGGGTCGTAATTAGATTATGAAGGTGACTATCAAATCCCACTATTTGATTAGAGAAGTCGAAGTGTGGGTACTGTTGACCAGTTGCCTTCTCCCTCATGTGTTTCAGAGCAAAATTAGGGATGGCTAGTGAAGATAGCCCTCGAGTAGCTTTGCGCGAATGTCCGAAATAAACAAACAAACATTCATTAATTTTATCTGATAACAATGTATTGCTATCCACCTAGGCTTAACTCCCCGCGCATTTGCTGAAGAAATGCCTTAATCTAAATAAAATATGTAAGGATATTGAAATATATATGAATAAATAGTTATTTATGGTGACATACACATCTTTGAACATGAATTTTGATTCTTTAAAACAAACTAAAGGTACGCTAGCTACTTGGTAAGTAACACTAATTAAGTTTATTTAAATATAAATTCCTATCCAGTGACCTTATTAAGGTTAGGCCCATTTATCGTTGTATTTATATTATTCCACATGTTTCGGAGCCTAACATGGCCTGATGGTTAGGACGCTCGACTCGTAAGCTTTTAACCGTGGGGACGTTATAATGTCCCAGTCAATCCCACTTTTCGTTGATAAATGAGTAGCCCAAAAGTTGGCGGTGTTGACTACTTCCCTTCCCTCTAATATATCACGTCTAAATTAGGGAAGGCAACTTTGCGTTAAATTCAACAAACAAACAATATGTTTCAACTGCTATTAAAATAACTTGGTACAAGATTGTTAGCGAATATGAGATATTACAACCAGTTATGATCATTACGAAACCAGGTCGCAAACTAAATTTTATTTCTGATAAATGCACCAACACTCGGTTTATCAAATTTCGTGTTAGTATTGTCTCTATTTGTACACAGGGGAAACGGGTCGTGAATTAATAGAACATTTCCGCTCTCCTTCATTTGTATTGGAGCATTAACGAGTTGAGTCACAACAAAGTCCTATGTAGTCGAAGTGAGTCACGACAAGACATAGGTAGTCAGGATGAGCAATAAAAACAACAACAACAAAAAATATATGTAGTTAGAATGAGCCACAACAAAGTCATATGTAGTCAGGGTGAGATACAATTGTGTCTCACCCTGACTACATATGTTTTCGTAAAGTCGAATGTTGTCGGGAAATAAAAACGTATAAAAAAAACAGAAGAAGCTCTGTTGGCTTCACATTTGAAGCCATCTATTAGTCGACAACCTACTGACCACCTATATTTTTGTCGCTTAAACATCACATGACTTTTTTTTGCACATACAGCGATTGACTCACTTACTGTTGTTCGTTTGTTACCGATATGCTGGCGTCAGCGTAACTGAAACTTTGAACCTTGAGTTAGTGCTTGTATTTTGAACGATATCAATTGAAGCTATGGGTCTGTAATAGGATGATGCGTGTCACTTAGTTTGATTCAGTAGCGTAGCTTTACGGACGTAAACAAGTGAAATATGCCGTAGTACACGTTGGTTCCATTCACCTTGCACTATCAAATACACTAAAGTGGCTCTTCCATTACCTAGGTCATTTTCGTGTTGTACTAATGGCTTTAATATCGTAGAAGCAATTGTAGTACATGTTGGTTCCACTCACCTTGCACTGTCAGATACACCGAAGTGGCTCCTCCACGACCCAGAATATTTTCAGCTTGACAGTAATACTCTCCCTCGTGGTTGATATGGACAGGAAGGATTGTGTAATTAGCAGTTTTTCCTAGCACTATCTTTTCCTGACCTGCTCGCCACCACCGAAACTGAGGTTGTGGCCAGCCTTCTGGGTCAGCAACACAAGAAAGAGTGAAAGCATTACTTGATATGGCCACGGGATTCATCGGGAAGATGGTTGCAACACCAGGTTTATCTGTAAAGTGAATAAACAGATTTTCAATAGGAAAAAACTCGGAGCAAAAAAACGGAAGATTTTTTTTTTAGAATAAACATGTAGAAATGCTACTTCTTAAAATGTTGTAAATTATTTCTACTTTATTATGTAATAGAGTGCGTGAAGGAAAATGTAAAGTATGAGAAACATTTGTAGGCGTGTTTCATTAAAACAAAGGTGAAATACAAATTGACTCTGTTAATTAATATTTAGCCCTAATGTACTGAATATCAAAGAAATTATGAATCTGGACCGACACTAGCATTACGAAATTTAAAACTAAATTTTTAATTGATAAGTCTAGATTTAAACCAGAAACTACTTACTGTGTGGCTTATATTTTACCTGTTGTAATATGTTTCGTATTACGTAAATGTAAAAGTTATTTCTGATGCTTATTAACAATATATCAGATTATTTTATGTATTTTTGGTACTCACGCTTGACCACAATTTTGACAGTAGAATTACTGGAGATTTCTTTCTGCATTGTGGAACCCGACGGTCGTACGGAGTTGACTGCGATACAAGTGTATTTCCCTACATCGCTTATTGTAACTTTGTTTATTCGTAAAGTATCGCCAGTTTGTCTGAAGAAGGAATCTCCCTCTCTGATCCATTGGAGAGAATGTGGAGTGGGATTGGAATCAATGTTACACGCAACAGTAATCGATTCTCCCAACAGTGCTTCTCGAAGAGGTTCAACAGTGACTTTGGGTCCATCTGAAAAAACGACAAACACGCTAATGTTTAATACATTTTTTTAGTATTACGTTCTTCACTCTACTGCAGACGATATTTTTTTTTCTTAAGAATCCGTTAGACTCACAGTAGGTTTTGTTTAACATTTACAAATCATGCGAACGTAAATCCTGAAAGGCGGCGTACCCAAGTTTCATTATTATTACATATATAATCATAAGTTAGCAATTCCATAATTCTTTGGAGAAAATTTATTCGATTTTGAAATTATTACCTAAAATAAGCTCTGACACCTCAAATTTTTGTGGTATCCTTGTTTTTGATACCTTCGAGAAAAACTAACTAGCAGAATTACAACGCCAGAAACCGGATTTCGATATCCGTGGTGGGTATAGCATTGTGTAGCTTTGTGTTTAACTTCAATTTTTTTAATTACAGTGCCTAATACAAATAGGTAACCAAAAACAACGCTTCTAGTTAATTTTATTATTAGGCCAAATTCAAAATATACGGATTTTAGCGCCATCTGTTGAATGTAGTCTGGGAATATTCCGTCATCTCTGTTTTTGATGTGAAATCATAACAAGGTAACAGATCTGATAGTTGAATAACTTACAGAGAAGAACTTGTAGATATGTAAATACTTTTAAATTAGGATCAGTGTATAATTAAGTGTAAAGATTGTTCTTACAACGAAGAAACTGACGGACGGCTTCCAATAAGATTGAAAAACCATTTGAAAAAAAAAAAAAACGTTTCTTCTATTAGAGCACAGGAGTAAACATAATTACTGCTTTTGGACTTTTAGCTGTTAAAACCATTGTCAAAGGAAACAATATAAAATATAATGAGTATTCCCTTCTAAACGGAACAACAAAAACTAGCATTAATAAATATACATGTGTAGAATTATCATTATTCTAATTTGTTCCTTAATTAGGTATTCTTGGCTTGTGCTACATTGTTGTTTATGACGTCATATCACGTCAAAGACGTGACATTTTCGACTTGTTATATAAGCCTAACGAAACGTATTGCTTATTATAGTTTTTTTAAAGGTAGTTAATAGTCGAGCGTAGCCTAGTGGTTAGAGGTTGAATTGTGTATCTTAAGGTTCATTATTCGCGTCCCGTTACCACCAAGAAATATTCGCGTTTCGCAAAAGGGGAGAGGTGGCGGTGGGTGGGTTATAGATTATCTCTTTTCTACCAGTTAAAAATTAGAGATGTCCTTGAATAAGTTTGCACCAATATCCGAAACAACCAAACAAATTGCAAATAATTGTTTTTAAAGACGAAAAATTCGTGAATAAATACTTCTAATCTGCACTGTAGCATATATATATATGTATATTTTACATTATATTTTTCACAGATTAGGCTGCAAAACACATTGCTTTACAGCAAACCGTGTCTCCCACATGTGTATCAGTGACGTAGTGTCATGGCCGCTTTTTACCACGTCTTGGTTATAAGATGATAATTTTTGACTGAGTTATAGAGCAAAAATAGTGCAAAGTCTGTCCCCATATTAACAGATATGGATTTTTTTTAGATTTTTGTGATCTTGCTTTGACCTTGACCCTCCAAAAACTAATCACATCTAAACTGGGTCATAGCTCAAATGTATACTAGCTTTCGTCCAAATCCATTCAGCCGTTTTCGAGAATTCTTGCTATCAAACACACACGTGCACAAACACAGGGGTGAAAACAACTTCTGTCACCTTCGGTGGCAGAGGTAATTAAACACTGTCTTCTCCGTAACACATATTTACTTGGAATTAAGTTGACAGGGGTAATTAAACACTGTCTTCTCCGGTAACACATATTTACTTGGAATTAAGTTGACAGGGGTAATTAAACACTGTCTTCTCCGTAACACATATTTACTTGGAATTAAGTTGACAGAGGTAATTAAACACAGTCTTCTCCGTAACACATATTTACTTGGAATTAAGTTGACAGGGGTAATTAAACACTGTCTTCTCCGTAACACATATTTACTTGGAATTAAGTTTTCTTTTTTTGAATTTCTACGTTTGTAACAAAATACTTCATTGTCAATAAACGATTTCCGCTTCTAACGTACCAATACGTTTAAATACAATCTGCCATGAAAATAAACTAAAAAACAACAACATTTAAACGACATATTGGAAGGAAGAATATTAAAATTAAAATAAGCACCGAATAATAGAGAACAAAAACCACAGTAAACGGAACAAACTCTCAGAATTATTGATGATATTGAGTCCCTCGATGGGACATCAGTAAGTGTATGGACTTACAACACCAAAATCCGAGGTTGGATTCCCCTCGGTGGACACAACAGATAGCCCAATGTGGCTTGGCTTTAAAACAAACAAACAAACTTGATATTGGAGAAACTAGTTTCGACACATTCGTGTGTCTTCTTCAATCTCATATTGTCTGGATTTTAGTTTTAAAGATTAGTTTTGAAGTATTTTTGCTTCCTTTTTCCCGTACTTCAGACATACTTTGACACTGAAAGAACAATGTGTATTCTGACCTGTCTCGTGTTACTGAGGTGAATAGAAAAAAAATAGTAAAATACTCACAAAGCACGGACATTTCCAACTTGGCTTCGCTTGTCTGTCCGAATCCATTATCAGCATTGCACGTGTATAACCCACTGTCTTCACGCGTGACAGCTGGAATAGTGTGGTTTGAAGAGGTTGACAATAGCTGACCATTTTTCATCCACCTCATCGATCGGACAGGAGGGTTGGCTACAGCAGAGCACACCAGGTGAGCATCTTGGCCCTCTAGAATATTTAGGGGATTATATGGTCCTACGGTAACTCTAGGTGCGTCTGTAATCGAACGATGAACATGTTATGAAACACAGGATTTAACAAGTTATCAAACACAGGATTTAACAAGTTATTAAACACAGGATTTAACAAGTTATCAAACACAGATATTAACAAGTTATTAAACACAGGATCTAACAAGTTATCAAACACAGATATTAACAAGTTATTAAACACAGGATCTAACAAGTTATCAAACACAG